CCAAAAACTACGTGGGACACCCTTAGGCTTTGTTGGATTGATATATACAATGGGCCGCCAGACCTAATTGTTCACGACGCAGGAAAGAACTTTGTTGCATCTGAATTTAAGCAAAATGCACAAGCCCTATCTATCAATATCAAACAGGTACCTATTGAAGCCCACAACAGCATTGGCAAAGTTGAACGGTATCACACACCTCTGAAACGAGGCTACAAAGTAATCAAAGCTGATCTGTCGGCTACAATACCCCCAGAGCTTGTGTTAAGTAAGGCAGTAAAATCCGTAAATGACACTATTGGGCCAAACAGGCTAGTTCCAACACTCCTAGTGTTCGGTGCATATCCAAAAATATCATCAACATCACCACCTTCACCGACAATCTTGGCACGCAGTGAAGCTATATGTAAGGCTTTGAAGGAAGTTAGAAAAATACACGCCAAACAACAAGTAAAAGATACACAACAAATGAAAAGTGGTCCAGACGTTAGTAAGATCCTCCAACTATCACCAAACAATGATGTTTTAGTTTGGCGTGAGAAAGAAAACTGGACGGGGCCTTTTAAAATTCTATTAATAGACGGTGACAAATGTATGGTTGACCTGCCCCATGGACCCACCAAATTTCGTTCAACTGTAATCAAACCGTATTACAATGATGACTACGCTGAAAAACCAAACACTGAGAATAGTCATATTGACAGTAATGAGGCAATCGATGTTAAGGAAGATGAATGGACCCCATTTGAATATGATCCATCCGAACCAACAAGAAGAGGGCGTGGTCGACCCAGAGGCTCAAAGAATAAGACAAAACTGTCTGCCACTCATTCGAATTCATCATTCCCAACACTGTCAGGATCTCCAGTCAACCATGGTGAAATGCTATCAGCCAAAGAATTGTTTGATATGGGTCTATCTCTACAACTTAGGAAAGAAGGAAAAATAACCACTCCAGGAATTCCGTTCGAAAATTCTGACAGAGCTGAGATTGATTCACTGATAGCTAACAAAGTCTTTCAGTTCGAAAAATTTGATCCTTCCAAACATGAAAATATTAGAATCTTCAAATCGCGCCTTTTACGAGAAGTAAAAGGTAGAGCAACTAACCAACCATACGAAAAGTCACGGCTAGTGATCCAAAGATATGGTGATGATGGCGAGGACCTTGTCTTGACTCAAGCCCCTACAATTCAAAGATCCTCCCGACGTCTCTTAATAGCTTTGGCGCCCTCCCTACTAGAATTGTGTTCAATCTAATTGAGAGATATTACCCAAGCTTATGTGCAATCATCAACAACGCTCAATCAAACAATTTTAGCACGCCTACTGCCACAAATTGTACATCTATATTCAGTTGGTACCATTGTGATAGTCATAAAGCCCTTGTATGGTATTGCCGAGGCTGGGACACATTAGTGGACAACATATAGTACCCACCATAGAGAAAAACACCAAATGATAACCTCCACATACAATCCCTGTTTATTAATCTCTACAGAAAAACTAAAACTGTCTGATCAAAATCCAATCTCTTTTAATGGCTGCATACTCAAACTAAATGGCTCCAAAATTAAACTGACTCAAAAGGAACAGGCACTCAAAATTGTTCCAATTGATACTAAAATCCCCGAGCGCGCCAAAAAGTATGTAGAGCAACGAGCACAAAGTGCTTATATTGCTGGCATATGTCAGCCCGAAGCTACGTTCGATCTCTCTCGAGCCGCACAGACCCATGATCCTTCTATAGACGACATTAATGCCCTTAAAAAGCGACTTAAGCAGCAGAAAAATAATATCAAAAGAGGCATCAGCTACATACCAATCAAACTTATGACTGCTAAACTTTTTGTCTTTGTTGATTGCTCCTATGCTAACAACAAAGACCTATCAAGCCAGATGGGGTTTTTAATTATCCTTGGTAATGAAGATATGACTACCAATAATAAGTTTAGGATTTATAGCAACATAGTTCACTGGAGCTCAACAAAGAGCAAAAGGGTAACAAGATCGGTGCTAATAGCTGAAATCTATGGCATGGCTTCTGGCGTTGATATTGGGTTTGTTATTATAGGGACAATTAACATCATCATGGATCAGCTTAAGTTACCTGCTGTCCCTCTCGTCGTTTGTACGGACTCCTACTCCCTGTACAAATGCATTGTAAAACTCGGCACTACCAAAGAAAAACGCCTGATGATTGACATCATGGCATTGCGGCAGATGTATGAACGTCGAGAACTTTTGGAGATACAGTGGATTCATGGAAATGGCAACCCAGCTGATGCCATGACAAAAACCAATCCAAGCAAGTCATTAGAACAATTCATTAATACAAACCAGCTTGAAATTGACGTCCAAGGATGGGTAAAACATTGAAAATACAAGCAAAGAAAATCATATGCAATTAATTACATAAACAAGCATCTGATGAGAATGTGGAGACATTCAATGTGGATTGACAAAGAGAAGAACTGCCAGTGTTGTAACAAATAGACTATCTCAGTAAGGGGAGCATGGGAGGATATCAGTGCGACCTTAATAAGCGAGGCTACGTTGTCAGCCTTGTAGGATCTCCTAAAGGACAGTGGTTAGACTTTGTCACAGATCAACTATAGAAATCAAGGAGCATTTGTATGGATGATGGTATTTTATAATTCAACTATGAAGACCTAAGTTCTACATACTAATCCAGGTATATATACAGATTTATTACATTCAAAGTTCTTCCCTCCATGGTCAGCTCATTTCTAGATGATTCCAGTTGCCACTCTAAGGGTATCAGTTCTAGCAGCTTCTCCAAGTTTCAGTATCAGTCTTACGCACATGGAGACTTTTCCAGTCCCTTCTTAGGAGATTCTAGTATCTTTTACGTGGCTTTTGCGCCTGCCCGTTCTCCGGTGGTTGTACGCCAGTACTTGCCAGTACTGGCTATGGGAAAGATCGGCTTTGTAGCTGTTACAGACTTAGACAGATAGAGAGAATATACACACTTACCGGAATACTCAGTACTATTTACTGTACCCTGTGAAACCTACAAAATGTGAGCTGCGAAATTATCCTCAAACCAGATATTAACATTGTTAAAGTTATGAGCTTGAGCAAAGATGGAGTTAACAGTAAAATCAGTGTTGGTGGTTAGACCAATACAGTAAGTTTTGTATGAGGTTGTGAGAGGGAGATTTGAGTGGAAAAAATTGTGTTTAGACATATGGCTCTAAGTAAAACTGTCAGGATTGCCTTCTGTATAATCTATATATGTGGAGATAACCAAATTCTAGTGTTCTCTGATTCTGGTCTGACCTTTTGGCTGAGTGGTTATGCACCTATCTCGTGCACAATGTAGCATAGCACCCTTTAGCCTGAATACCACCTCTTTAACCCATGTCTTGGCCTTGCTGTCAACACACTGCTCTGACAGTTGTGGATGTCTAAGTTCCTCACTATTATTGTTGTACTAGTTAGGATTGTATTTTCTGTATACAAAATGGATATCTCTATCTACATGTGGGCCAGATTGCTTAGATCTGGCTAGTGGCTCTCGCCATCCTGTAAGTTCTCCCCGGCATGGCATCAAGTGCTTTAGAACTACTGCTCACCATGAAGGCCGAGGATGAAAAGGATTAGATTAAGACATGTGGATCTCTATGTATGGACGCCCCTGACGTGTTGATAAAACCTGAGTCCACTTGTATGTCTAAGGCATGAATCCAAATCTCAGTCCTTCTGGAGAAAGTGTTCCAACAACTACATCCAGATTACACCTAACTAATTCATAACAGTTTCAATATTTGTGTTTGTACCTACATAGTTTTATCAGCTGTTATTCCAATGACTAAGCAGGTTACAAATTCCAATATGAAGATGAGATTAAGAAAAAGTTCTTATTTATCCACAATGTTGTGACAGCTGTCAAGCCTAAGGATTCCTGTAGCCAGCGCTATCTAGCACAGGAAATTATACAAAGAAAGCTTCCTGGGAAGATCTTGGAAGATAGGTGTCATGGGATGGCATTCTACCCAGTCATGATGTACAGTCACGTGGATGGAGGATGTGAGATTGATGGCTGGTGCAGGAAGGAGCACGTGCGCAGCAATTAAGCAGAAATCCGCCTGCATAGGAATAGCTTCGGGGCTTTTTGTACATTTCTTTTTCTTCTTTTCCGTCCTTCACCAGCTTAGTATCTGCTCCACACATTCAATTATTGCCATACAAGTTATACTTTCACTTGTACATATTCTACGCTGCAACAACAGGGAACTTGGAAGATTCATGTTGAACCTTGATGAAACATACTGAAAGTTCATGAGTGTTACAGGAGTGTCAAGAATCTTCTAGATGATTATTGAAGCGTCTGAGTTGTCAAGTAAGAGAGAGAATCTTCTCAAAGGGGGATATTTCAGATTATATATAAAGGCAGTCATTAGCTACAGGAATTCTCATTTCAGAGAATTATAATTTGTTAAAACCTTAGTCCTTATATTGTGTAATGATCACTTTAAGGATTTCCAATATAAAACATGGAAGGTAGACTTGTCTAGAAATCAACTTGTTGGAGGTCTATGAATAATTATTTATGAAAACAGATCCAACACTCGAGATTTACATCTTGAGTGCGGGTCTGTGCACGCTAACAAAACAACCCAATAACCACGTGATAAGCAGGCTAATTGTACAGGGTATCTTGCTCTCCGGTTCTCCTAACTCCTGGCTAATGATGACAACTCAGACCCATAATAAGGGTCATGAGGATCCTGGAATTGCAATGCATTAGACTTATTTCTCAACACAATTAAACATATTATGCCAACAAGTTTGCCCATGTATTTGGTAATGAAACTCTAACAAACTTCAATAGAATTTTGAGAGTGAGATAAGGCCAACTACTTAAAATTGTAATCTCACATCATGCCAGATCCCAAACATTTTGTTTCCCCAAATCAATATACTAGATATACCTGATAGTGAAGAGGCAACCAATAATATCATTCATCACTGAATCACCCTGAAGCTATATAACACATGTGAGAATTTGCTACTGTCACTGGTGTTCTGATTGTAGTTGAGGCTGTATTTGCCATAAGGCCAGATATATTGCCGAGAATGTCAATAACAAGTATATATTTTGTAACAATATTATCTATGAGTAATAATTAGTAAACTATTTGGTCTAATTCAAAGATAACAAATTTATACCCCTTGAATCGCCCGGCAATTTGTGCCAAAAGTATCTGGGTTGAGCAGCTTGACTTTTATACAAAACTTGAATACCTTGCCACTGGCTACTGATGATAGATTCAAGTACTGTTATGCTGACTTCTGGCAATGTCCTTTGGTTTAACGCTGTACGGGCCTGAGTTCTGTAATTTTCCAAGCTACCAAAGTTTATAAGTGAGCCATGTGACGGCTTGTAAGCCGGTAATTGCCTGTAGCCTGCGCTGTCTAACGCAGGCTTAGCATGAAACAAGGAGGGCCTTATAAGTGGCAATAATAATACTGTAACACGTCCGGGGATGGGGCACGAGAATGTGATACGAGTAGGGGATATGAGTAGGGAATACGAGTAAGGAATACGGATATACGGATAGAAATCTGTGTCATTGGCTGGGATAATAATCATGTATAAAGTAACTGTTATTATCCTCTTCAATCTGTAGTTCACCATAGATTGAAATTAAAACTACCTCTGACCATAAGGTTGCCCAAGTGCCTATGTTTAGACTGTGACAAGCCATAGCAGTTAAAAACTTTATTCTCATCATAAGTATTATCTTTTTCATAATATTGAAGAGCTGCAGCAGAGAGGCTGAAACTTTGGAAGAGGAGGACAGTGGTAGAAAAGCGCATGATTGTTACTCTTGATTGGTTTAACTGAAGTCAGAAGTGTTTGGTGATGTAAAGAGTGAGCTTTAGACAGGAAAAATAATTGAAGGAAAGAAGTTTAATATAAATGCTCTTGGGAAAACCGTTACCCCAGTCAAAATGGTCATCTAAAACTAATAATTTGAGTTATTAGCAGTGGAGGCATGTGGAGCTATCTTTCCTCGGCTTTTCTTTACAAAAGTAGACTTATTACTGAATTCTTAGCCCCCTGCTTTTAAACTTCCATTGAGTGCAGTACTTTAAACGAGAAGCCATTATTAATAATGTGATGCTTCTTGCTAACGACCAGACAGTTATGATAATGAGGCTGCTTGTGGAGTTATGAGAGAAACCATTGCTGCACAAGTCAATCATGTAGGAATCACATAAAATAAAGGTGTTTATGGTCGGGGATGAAGTAAACTCAAAGCACTGGATTGTTTTTACTACAAATTTAGTTATTCAACAGCTGAATCATTTAGAAGTGGGTTAACTCATGTGAAGGGGGTGCCATGTTACATGTCCCTTGAAACCTGTAAGAATAATGTTAGATCAGCAAACCTATTTTTGAGGCCTTTATAGCCAGTCTACATTGCAATCAACTTGTGTGTCACAAATTTGCGGGAGATAATCTGGATGGGATGGTGCGCGGAATATTTACCTAAAATTCTTTAGGGCTAGGGTAATTGTGGATTTTATTGGTCAGGATATTTGGATTTGATTATCACAGTTCAAGGAACAGGTGCCAGAGTTTCACAGATCCGTTATTAGAATTTAAATACTAATAGTAATTCGTGATTAGATGAAGGGGTAGTTAATTAAAATCATCAATTTAATAATAGATTCACCTATATAATTAGTCATGTAAAAATTCATGCAAGGATATGCAAGAGAGTCATGAAGAGAAGGACAAGAACACAGCCATTAATGCGAAGATATTGGCAAGAATTGATTACGATTAATTCTGGTTGGCAAATGCTTCTACTCTTATATATAACAGTTCAGCGTGAGAGAGAATTACTCCTCACGCGAGGAATTCTTTAATTACCCTTTACAATACATTTGTTTACCCATCTCTTCTTCGGGAAAACCATATATCCATTGCCCAGTTCTTCATCAGCAAGAACCACGTGTAACATCTACTGCAACAAGTTGCCCATTCATCTCTTCCTAGTGAAGACCTGTCATCTCTTTGACCCATTTACTGTCTTCACTTACCACCTAGATCTTCACTAGGCTATACAACGTGTTGGAATTTGCCACATTTCTTACAATAATCGGCATTCCTTGCAAATATGAACAACTTTCCTGCATGCTGCACAATAAATCCTATGTTCTACATTTTAATTTCTTTTTGCTGTTGAGATATTCTCTCATGCATTTGCATGTGCGGGGTAATATGATACTATATGCAAATGCAGTGAGAGACATGGTCATGTTTACTTTGCAAATAATAGGATGGCGTTAATGGTGCGGGGTCAGTACTGACTTATTCCCCGCAAAATGGTTTTGTGGTTAGCTGTGCTGAAGACTTTTCCCTGTAGTAATTGTTGTTAGCACACCCACTTTAACTCTAGGATATTCGCACATAAATTGGCGTTTTACATGTAACTTAGAACTTCAATGAGAACAATATTCTTTGAGCTTTACTTTCTGCTCCTCTTACTATGAAATTGTAGCACAACGCACCGGGCAGAATACCTATGAATCCTGGGCCATCACAATGGAGGCAATTTTTAGAGGCCAGAAACTCTATGAACTAGTTGTTGAAGGAAAGAAGCCAAAGGAAGATGCTTGTGTTAGAAATTGTCAAGGATTTCTAGGAGGAAATATCTCGAAGAACAAGTGTACAATTTCGGACAAGAATTTATTGATAGTTGTATGTGATATCGAACTCTCTTCTCAATAAATTAATAATATGTAATACTCCGTTCACTTATTTTTACATATACAGATGAGTCTGTCCTTAAATACAGATCCTGAACTCCCAGTGATCTAGCAACAACCAGCCACTCAATTATCACAAGGTAGCATTTCCTAGTCACTGCATTCCAGATGCCACTGAATCTTATTTCGTCCAACTGAGCTTAATAATATTCAATCAAATCAACTCAATTGATCTTGATGATCATACCTAGAAATCTAAGCCTTCATACATGCTGAGTCTAGATTTGCAACAGCTTGCCTTGAAGAGCAGGAAGCATTTAGCGAATTGTCAACAATTGCTATCAATATTTACATCCTTGTGGTGTGTCCGAGTATACTGAGAAAGATTCTCAAGTTACAAGACCCCCACAAAATATGGATTTTTTTGATTACCAAATATCATCAGACCAATAATTTCACATTAGTCCATCTGTTAGGATCACTAATGTCGCTTTCGAGTAAATTTGACCCCAGTGGCTCAATGCAATCTTTCATAGACTTGTATGAGAATGAATACTTCCGGAATGCTTCTCTAGCCCGCGAATCCTCCAGCCTCAGCCGTCAAAAGATCGCAGATTTCTTAGATGATGATGAGATAAAAAGAGATTTGATACTGGCATTCATGAGTCGACATCATAAGAATATTGTTGACAACTTGGTAACAAAGGATATCCTATCCTATTCCGAAGTAAAGCAGCGTCTTCTTGACCTTGATCATGAGTTACCCCTACAATCCTAAACTCACACAGCTCACATCACGCAGTTCAAGAAAATGAAAAATGACAACTCAAGAATAGCAAGACCTTCAAAGGTAGCTAAACCTAAAAAACCTAAAAACTCTAAAGCAAAACAATGTTCCTTTTGTAAAAGACATTTTCCGCTTGAGTATAGAGGTCATGTATGGAATACTTGTGTCAGACTGCGTGAAAGAAATGCAAAAGGACCTATTGATAACCATGAACGAGCAAATATTGCTGTCAATGGACCTCAAGAGGCTAGTCATCATCCCTTCTATTTTGATACCTGTGCAACAGCTCACATGTGTCCTTACCCAGGAAGATTCGAACAAATTTCAGCTTGCGCCGGTCATGTAATGTCCAGTTCAAACAAAAAGATATCGATCAAGGGGAAAGGAACTGTAGTTTTAAACTGTATACTATCAAATGGAAATATCTCTTCATTTAAAATTGATGATGTGCTATACGTGCCCAAGTTATCCTTGCCATTATTCTCTTGGAAGAAAGCTAGATCTAGAGGATATATGCTTTAAGATGACAGTATTAAAATGAGGATATTTAAAAATAATAAAACATGGTTGGAAGCTTACTACAATGGTCCGTTACCCGTGATCAGGGAAAGGATCGAAAAATATGAACCTGCTTATCCTACCTTTGAGTTTTGGCATGAAGCTCTCTGTCATTCGACGCCTTATTTGATGTCTAAGACAGACAAGCTCATACAAAACTCAGGTATCATCCCAAATACATCAAAGAACTTTTACTGTGACGCCTGTATTTCTTCCAAATCAATACATCTGTGAAAGGTTTAAAGAATTCAGAAGTACTTGAAAGACGTTAACTCAATAGGAATTGATCATTTTTCCTTGGGAAGCTAGTCTGCCTACGACGGCTTCTATCCTTTATGTCCTCTTCAGCGTCACGTTTAAGCCCCCCTCCTAGCCTACCTGAGAATACTCCATTCTCCCCGGCTACCCTCTTTCCTGTGACATCCTCCCCCCTTAGTATGTACTCCCTTGGGTCTTTCCATATGCGCAACCTTGCAATCATCCTTATGCAACACTAAGACCCGTTCTTGTGCGCAACCTTGCATTAATCCTTATGCGACATTTAGGTCTTTCCTTATGGGCAACCTTGCATTCTTCCCTATGCACCCTTTTGCGTATCTGTAAGCGCTGCTTTTCTGACGCTTAAATATATAGCCGGGGTGGTCCTAGTGACCAGTCCCAATCCGGACACAGCCCGTCACAACATCAGAAGCATTCTCCATTGATTTTTAGAGCAAAACTCAAAGGTGAATATATTCATTCAGATCTTGCAGGACTATTCTCTGTTCCATTGTATGGCAATGCTTTATACTACATAAGATTCATAGATGATGCAACACAATGTGCAACTATCTGATCCCTAAAATACAAATCTGATGCGGCACAATGTTGTGATATTGCTTGTCAATGACCGGATCTGAGCCGACAGGTGCATATGCACGTCGTGCGCTGACCATGGATGCAACTGCTGCTGCTCCTGAGTCTCGGACTTGGTAGCACCGGGTTGAGTCATTGCAGGGCAACAATTGGGGTAGCAACGTGAAGAGTCTACTGACCACGTGCGCTAGCCATAAGCGGTTAGATATTACCGGACAATTACGGGATAGCGCTGAGAGGTATATGCAGACCTAGTGCACTATCAGAACTGTAAAACTGCTCCTGCTCCCGAGTAGTGGACTCTTGAGCGCCGGGCTGATTCATTGCAGGGCAATGATTGGGGCAGCATTGTGATGAGTCTATTGATCACACACGCTAGCCATGAGCGGTTAGGTATTACCGGGCAATTACGGGATAGCGCTCAGAGGTACATGCAGACCTAGTGCACTATCGGAACTGTAAAACTGCTCCTGCTCCCGAGTAGTGGACTCTTGAGCGCCGGGCTGATTCATTGCAGGGCAATGATTGGGGCAGCATTGTGATGAGTCTATTGATCACACACGCTAGCCATGAGCGGTTAGGTATTACCGGGCAATTACGGGATAGCGCTCAGAGGTACATGCAGACCTAGTGCACTATCGGAACTATACAACTACTTCCGCTCCTGAGTA